AATCACAAGAGTTAATCATCAGACAGCGGATTGATGGGAATGTTCTCAAGTTTTGAGGAAGTCGAGATTAAAGGAAATTCTAAAAAATAATAAAGGAATGAATTCTCGTTTTCAGGTTTTTAACAATATTTACGTTTCTCCATGGAAACAAAACTCTCTGGATGTGATATTTCCTCCTACTTTTTTAGATTATCTATGTGTCGAGGAACCCGAAGGACTCCGGGATCTCCTACTACTCTTTGTTTCATACTTTCGACAGTTTCATGGGGACGCTTGATGATTTCATCGAGCAGAGCATTCACGGAATCAGTGAGTAGCTCTTCGTTGTCTTCCTGCCCCTTGGGAAAAAGCTCGCACGGGATGGTCTTGAAATTGAAAATTGCTCTTTTAAGAGGGGATGCGTTTCGATGAAATCAGGAATCCTTCAAATCAAGAACTTCAAGAATCCTTTGGGAAAAAATTATATTGGGAGGAGGACGTTACAGAGAAAAAACAACACCGCAAATGCGAATTGGAAGGCGGCCAAAACGACTAAAAACACGAATCCCTTGACAACCTTGCGCAGTCATACGCAGATGTGCTCGAATGTCGAAGATTGTGCGTATATCAAGAGTTTTTCATTGAACCATCTGGGAGCGGTTGCACTAAAAATAAACCCATGTTCGTCCTGTAGGCTTGTGGGGTCCGCATTGGAAACATGTTCGAGAACACTGGGAAATGAGGAATGAGCCGAATGTCTGCTTCCTCACTTTCGAATCCCTGTAAAAGGTTAGTCCCACATACCAACGTTTTCCTTTCTCTACTCCAAATAACGCATTTTTGTGCACTACTCGAAATTTCCGCTTTTGACAACCGAGAGAAAATATAATAGAAGATTCAAACCTTTTGACCAGTTGCTATGACTTCCATATCGGCAAATTGAAAGCCCCTAGAAGCGGATTTGCGTTCACGGCCACGAATCCCCACCGACAGAACGCGATCGAGGAGATCGAGAGGCTAGCCCGATTCCTCGGGAAGGACCTGACCCAGGAACAGACGAAGGCCGTGGAGGAAGAGGCCTCGATCGAGCGAATGAGGGAAAAGTCCCCCGTGACCGAATCCAACTACAGGTGGAAGCATTTAAATCCTAGTCGCGATACGGCCGAGTCCTTCATTCGAGGCGGCCGAGTCGGTGGGTGGCGGAATGTGCTCGACGAGGACCAAGTCGAGAAGATCGACAAATACATCAGGGAATAATTGGAGGAGACTGGACTCTGCGACTCTCAGACGTGATCGAACGGTGTCTGCTCTACGGTCGATTATCTTTTTGTGTGAATGGGAGTTTGGCTTCGAGTTGCAATCTCTGAAATTTCTGGTGTACGTGCAATTTAAGGTATATCGCATCTTATCGCATCTTAACATGAACTCTATGAATGCAAAATTTGTGCACAATCTTCCCTATGAATACGCGCATACAAGCATCTTCGCCCATAGGAAAAAGAAGTTTTCACGTATTTTTCTAATGCATTTCAAGGAGAATTCAATTCCTTATTATTTGAATTGAAAATTCAGTTGGTTCTTGCATAGCTTTCCATGACTCAAAAATGGAATCTGCTGATAAAAACCTCATAAAATGATATCACCTACGCTGAAAAAGCATTACTGATAATGCCTGGATTAGCACTTCAGAAGTGAAGAACACTCAAGTTCTAAAACCACCATCCCAGTTGCCATATTTTTTCGGTCTGATTGAAGCCTCGGTGGTTCGTGTCTCCCTTTGGCTCCTTTTTCGATCCGACTCTCGTCGTTGTCCTGCAAATGCATAAGTGTCGCATGAGAATATCTATTAATTTCCAAAGACGAAGAAACTATGGGACGGCCTCATTAGCACAGATTGATAGGGCACGATTGCCCATCCTGTCGAGTGAGTGTTCTTCCGACCCTCAAGGACAATGATCGTATGAGAGGAATCCATGCGAGAATCGAGATGATCCTCGGTGTTGCATGTGCAATTGCGCTTGTCTGGATGAGCGTCTTCAGGATTTCGATGCGATTCGCAAGGACTTCGAGATTAGCATGAACAGATGGAAAGTCGCGTAAATTCTGTCGCTCGTGTCGTCTAAACATAAGACGTAAGAGTCCGATCGTGAACAGAAGAACACTTTCCAGATCGTATTGCAAGATGCGCGGTATGAGGCGGATGAAGAACGAGGGTCCGACGACTGCTTCGTTCGAGCACAGTCCCGATTGAGAGGGATGATCCAAATCGTGATCCGGTTTTCTCTTGACGGTCTGCGTGCATGTCTCAGGTGGACGGTGANCTTTTTGTGTGAATGGGAGTTTGGCTTCGAGTTGCAATCTCTGAAATTTCTGGTGTACGTGCAATTTAAGGTATATCGCATCTTATCGCATCTTAACATGAACTCTATGAATGCAAAATTTGTGCACAATCTTCCCTATGAATACGCGCATACAAGCATCTTCGCCCATAGGAAAAAGAAGTTTTCACGTATTTTTCTAATGCATTTCAAGGAGAATTCAATTCCTTATTATTTGAATTGAAAATTCAGTTGGTTCTTGCATAGCTTTCCATGACTCAAAAATGGAATCTGCTGATAAAAACCTCATAAAATGATATCACCTACGCTGAAAAAGCATTACTGATAATGCCTGGATTAGCACTTCAGAAGTGAAGAACACTCAAGTTCTAAAACCACCATCCCAGTTGCCATATTTTTTCGGTCTGATTGAAGCCTCGGTGGTTCGTGTCTCCCTTTGGCTCCTTTTTCGATCCGACTCTCGTCGTTGTCCTGCAAATGCATAAGTGTCGCATGAGAATATCTATTAATTTCCAAAGACGAAGAAACTATGGGACGGCCTCATTAGCACAGATTGATAGGGCACGATTGCCCATCCTGTCGAGTGAGTGTTCTTCCGACCCTCAAGGACAATGATCGTATGAGAGGAATCCATGCGAGAATCGAGATGATCCTCGGTGTTGCATGTGCAATTGCGCTTGTCTGGATGAGCGTCTTCAGGATTTCGATGCGATTCGCAAGGACTTCGAGATTAGCATGAACAGATGGAAAGTCGCGTAAATTCTGTCGCTCGTGTCGTCTAAACATAAGACGTAAGAGTCCGATCGTGAACAGAAGAACACTTTCCAGATCGTATTGCAAGATGCGCGGTATGAGGCGGATGAAGAACGAGGGTCCGACGACTGCTTCGTTCGAGCACAGTCCCGATTGAGATGGATGATCCAAATCGTGATCCGGTTTTCTCTTGACGGTCTGCGTGCATGTCTCAGGTGGACGGTGACCACATTGGAAGCTCTTCCGCGTGCCAGAGCTGGGAAAAGCCTGCTGAGGCAGGATGGGGCCGCTTGTGTTAAAACATCTGCAAGAATGGTTGCTTTCACGATTCCATCACAATTCATTTTTTCTTATTACGGCTGGTTCGAATCTCAAAATTCTTATTAATGATCCAGTGCATCAGCCCCGCTCATTGCATCCCCAGTGGATGCTGCACTGATATATCAGATGAGCGGACAAGTCGCGGAGGGGGTCGCGTGCCTTTACCCGTTCGGGACAACAACGTCGAGTCGACGTTGGGCGAGGTTTCATTATTGAACGTGGCAATGTAAAGGTGTGTAAAAGGTGGAATCATTGTTGTCCCGATGATGAAATGAAACCAGTTGAACATTGAAAACACACTCATGTGTCACGTCGTGCCAGTGTTGAATTCTCAGCGTTTGAGCATTACTTCTTACTGTTCCGGCGATTGAAAATACGATAATATAGATAATGAATTTGAAAGTGCTTTAAAGAGTACAGTCGAACTCGGTTATGACGTCGTTGAACCCTAGTAGCACATAACATTGAATACATGTTGTTTCAATGTTATGTGCTACTAGGGAAGGCACAAGAGAAAAATCTTCGTTATAATTGATGTATGTCATAACCGAGGTTGCCTTTATTGACATTCCTGTTTTCTTGTTTTTAAAATCGATGTTGCATACAACTCTAGTGCACATCGGTCGTCCTGCACTGGCTTCACTTTAAGCATTGGCCCACTGATCATGAAGTTCGCACTTCTTTGGACCTGGAACCCCTTTAGTAAGGATTTGTTGACGTCATCTCGAGCAAATCAACGAAGTTTCTTGAATTCATCGTGCTACCTTTCGGTAGGTAGTCGATTGTTATTATCCCTTTGCAATCCCAGAAAACTGTAATTATAACCTTCCCCAAAGAGGGAACATTTCGAGGCTTCAATGGAGATCCTTCTTCAGATCGATACCACTCCTCAGATTGTGATTTGGTCTCGTGATCGAAGTAGGGAAGCCAAGTCTCATCTACAGCGATGATACGGTCGAAAAAATTCTCCTCGTTTTCTTGGCTAAGTTGAAGCAGCTCTCGACACGATTCCATTCGATCGACATTTTGTTCACACCCTAGCAGGCGAGGCACCCATCTGGGAGAAACCCTCATCATATGTTCGTGGAGAATCTCATGAGCCTAGCCGGTGCTGACCCCCAGGGTAGTAGCAAGCTCCCGAACAGTAACTCTTTGACCTTTCATTGGAATATTTTCCGCAGAGTGAATTTTTCCATTGGTGGCCGTTCCAGGGCGATCGCGGTGAGGGTCGTCTTTTAAGGTCCGGCGACCATCCTTAAACCGCTTCAGCCATCGGTGAACTGTACTCTTCGATTCTACAGATTCTCCAAAGACAGCCTGCAGCCTCTGAACGATCTCAGAATCGTGTGCACCATCTCTCCACAAAAAGAAAATGATCACTTGCTGAGGCTTCACCGCGTCTTTCATGGTAAAAATACAAATTCGAAAGATACAACTGAACTGAGATGAATAACACTGCTCAAGAGATTATTCGGGTAAAAATTTCAACAATTTCAACCTTGACTCAGCATTTCAATCTTTAGTCAATGCTGACACAACGTAGTTGTGCCAAATGGGTCCTGCACTCGGGATTAAGCCGACTTAACTTCCTGGCAACAGCTATGTCATGAGACAAGCTGACTTGTACCGCAAATGAGCGCAACCCTTCCGGGAAGCTCTCAAATAATTCCAAGGATGAGATGCGATAATGTGGGAAGACGATCATGTTGCATTTCTGGCCTCAGCTGCAGCAAAACTGACCAGCGACGAGCACGTGCGTTCTCCTGGGTGCTGAATCCAGAAGCCTTTCTTGGCTAGTTAATGGATTGCTACCCTTAGAAAAGGACACGATTATTCTCTACCTTCTCTCTTCGGGAGAATTAACTCGCTTGAGTAAACCCACCTTAAACAAAGTATTGGATGAGAAATCAGCTAGTAAGAGTTGTACTTCAAACTCTACACGTTTTTCCGTTCTCTTGAGATTGGCGAATCCTGAAATAAAAAGTATCGGTCATATTTAGATGAATGCAACACTTACGCAGCTGTTCCAAACAGTCCCGTCAGTTTTCTCTCTTCCAAATTAGCTAAAATTGACCGGAAAAGACGAATTGCTCCTACTCAGACTTCTCGGATCTTCTTGATATCATTACCCTTCATCCCCTTGAAGGGATCAATGAGTTTCTCAAAGACATCCTTAGCCTCGTATTCGGGGAGGATTTCGAAAATGGCCTCGATCTGATCGTTGTGGCGCCGCTCCTCCTTGATCTCTTTCACCTCCATCACGAACAGGAGTCTTTTTCTTCGTGAGGACGTCGACGAAGAGATAGACGTTCAGGACAATGTTCCTGTCCTTCATCACATACTTTACCTATCGGGTATCATCCAGGTTGGAGGGCTTCGGAGCTCTGAGAAAAACAAATTTCGCCATTTGCAATTCCACGTCTTCACAGAAGTTTCTTCGACCGGCATGTTCGGTGAGCTCATTATCGTTTCCACTACATTTTCAGTCGTGATGTCAGCATCGTAAGAATAGTAGTGCAAGCTTTTTGAAATGTCCAATATCCCGCTCTCGCAACTAAGGGTCTGGGTCGGAACTACAGAATATATGCTTTTTTTATGCAACTGCTCGTACAGACCTTATATTCTACCATTATCTATAGGCCATAAAAGAACAGATAAGGAGAAACTGCCGTCTTCTACCATTTTCATGTCATGCGGAGGAATGACTCACCCCTATTGACTCAAATGGAGGGAATGCGGCTAAAGCGCACTGATGTCATCAGTCCCCCTCTATATCCTCTCTGTTCTCCATTCACGTGTTCGCAGTCCCTGCCATACTGCCTAATCTGTCCATTAAAATAATTGGATTGGAAAGTTTCATCGTCATTCTTACCTCTTTTCATCTGGCTCTCCAGAATCGAAGCACACGATTCACACAGTAAAGTCACAAAATAAATATTCGGTATGAAAGCCTGTCACACATGTGCACTGTACAAGTACGTACCATATGTTTTACCCTACTTGACGAAGTGCTCTCTATAATCGCATTTGTATCATGTCCTGAGCTGTTTCCATCCATTTGACCCCATCAAAAGTTACCATTCCAACGCTACATCTTTTCTTGGTCTTACCATATAACATATTCGGCTGTCATTTAGCACATACATTTGTCTATTGGTCACATCCTGTTCGTGGTATGTGCCCAACCAAGAACAATTTTCTCTTCGTAGCTTACAGGATGCCTTTGTTTAGCGAGTGCATTTTGGTGCTCCAGAAAGGCTTCCTTTTATCTCTTCTGGCCATTCTCAGCGCCTATTGTCCTAATTTCGAAACGTCTGGCATTCAGTTTCTCCATCTTCGCCAATGGCTCCAGTCCTTTTGTCAAGGGGGATAAAACACACTCTCTTGAATATATTACTTACGAAAGTATGCATGAAAGTTACGTAAAATGTTCTTGAATCAATAATTAATATGGTTTACTTTTCCAGATCTCCATAAAAAAATGCATTAGCCATTAAATGAAGCCCTTATCAACGACTCATGTACAAAGCCCAAAGGATGCACCTAGAATGTTCGACTCAAAATTTCACCACAAGGTGTAAGATATTCCAAGGAATTGGCAGTTCAACTTCTGATTTTTTCTGCACTTTGAAAGGTGAAGTAATACATTCCAGGGAATCATGGAAGAAAATTTCCTAGTTTGCTCCAATACAGATTGTGTAAGTCGCTTTTCCATGGGAAAGCTATAAACGCATTGTAAACCATCTGAAGTCACTTCCTTTGAGGATCCTACAAGATCATTCCATGATTTTACACATGAGCATGAGATAGAGAGAAAGAACCTGGATGGAGCTAAACTTGCATCATCATCAATGTTTGCCACATGGAGAAGACCGAATTCTCAAGCCACCCAATATCGCGAGGCTAATACCGAATAGGACGGAACCTTTTAATACCCCGCTGTGACCTAACATAAAATTCACCCCTAGAAAAACGAACTGAACATCACCTTTCTCAATGAAAATGGAGCTAGAATGACCAGTTTGTGAATTTGTTGTGACCACCACCTGCAAAACAAGCTGGTTCCAGGCGACGAGGGTGAGATTCAAATAGCTCTGGAAACAAATCTGGTTTTCCAAGCCTTCGAGCGTCTAAGTAATGTTTCTTTGGAGGGTTTCAAGTGAATTTCAAAATTTTTTTAATAATCAGGCCCCTCTTGTGAATCGGCATTTTCGCTTCAGTTTTAATGATAGGTCAAAGGTTTTCTGTTGCATTCAAGTCGGATTAATTTTCCGGATAAATGTCATTTCCTCCTCAGTAGCCAATCCCAGTTGCATCAATTTCACTTGGGTCTCTTTTTTTCTTAATGGGAATTACATCGCGAATGAAAGTGGTAAGCCCTCTATCAAGCACGTTTCCCTCATCTCGAGAGATTGTCATTACATTCTGCGCCAGTATTGTCTTCTCAATATATTTGTCATCCCAGGCTCCTTTAAGATCCATATATGTTTTTGAGTATTTAGCATGATAAAGATACCAATGCAGGGTGACTTGCGAAGGAAGTACGAAATTTCTCATCTTCAGTAATGTCATCTGCGCGAAAGGCCCATATGATACCGGAAACAAATAATTTCAAAATACTCGCTCTCCTAAGTGCCAGTCATTTTCATTCATAATCTGAAAAATCGGTCAGATTCAAACTAATCCAACTTTTCCACATGACTCAACATGACTCAACAACTAAAACGCCTTTGGCTGCAGGTTGAGGAAAAAGGTTGTGCCTCACATTATAGATAATGTAGTAAGTTTGGTTCTTGCATACGGGCCTTAAATAAAAAATTGCAGGGTTTTATTTAAATTCGTGCTCATAATAACAATATTTGACATAACAATATTTAACAATATAACAAACTTTGGAGACAAATGCTAATGACATCCAAGCTCTAACGTCAGGAACATGGAATATTGAATAACTTTTATTGCCTGCGAACTATTATTGAAATCAAGTAAAAGGGAAGGAAATCAAAATCTCTTATGAAGAGAAAGAAATCAGCAAGTCAAGGTGGATTTTTACGGAGGAACCCTTTAATTTCCAAAGTCATTGAGGTGCGAAAGATTACAAGGAACCTATTACGCAGAACTACTTCTGAATCTTCTTCACAATGTCGAGGCGGCCCATGCTCTTCAGAGTTTCTATGAGTTCGTAGTAATGTCTCTCAACATCCCTTGCGAAGAGTATCTTGAACACGGCATCTATCTGGGCGTGGTAGTCTGACATCTCCCTGAGTTTCATTTCTTCCGCGACCGAGATTATCTTTCTCTCTGCTAGAGTGTCCAGGAATTCGTTGATGCTGATGTAGACGTCCCTGTCCTTCAGTACGGTCTTGGCTCGTCTTAGGTCGTCAATCGTGGCGCCTTCCGTAACCCTGGAAAGATTATGCCATGTGTCAATGAACTTTTTGCGGGCATTCATTTCGCACAAATTTGGGTTCCTTTCAACAAAGCCAGCCCACGTATGCATGTGATGTCTCTCACAGTTCAGGGCTACACCATGGGACAACAGGATAACTCAAACTCAAATTCTTGACTTTATCTTGTGAATCGTGTGATTCTATTCCGGAGAGCTAGATGAAACATAGGGTGGTTTAAAAAAAACGCTCGTCCGTTTTCTATGGGAGCAACACAGATTCATAAAAGTAGCAAAAAAAATTTTCATTGAATACGCGATCGATATTTGACAGTTACAAGGTGTTGAAACGCTTGCCAAGTTTTTTTTTTATCAGCACCCCTGCCTAAATCGATTGATCGCCTTAGTCGTGCAATGCCCATTTAGAGGTGAATTAAAGGTGTTCAGAGATGGATCGTTCCACCTCAAGTGAGGTGATTACCTGTGCTTGACCGTCTCAGAATTCATTGAATTTTTCCATAACTTTTCAAGTGACAGTTGGATCTAACAAAACTTGACGGAGAGGTTCATGAGTCGAAGAGGGTTTTTTTCACTTCTGCAAGATGGCGCTGTCCCCCGATAGAGGGCGCTGCTGTTGATAGGGTGACCGAGGGTGATTTAAGAAAAGGTGCGAACTCCAGAATATGCGATTTGTCTGCAACTACTCGTCCGGATCTTATATTCTTCCATTATTAATGCGTTAGATGACGAAGTAGTGGCTGCCCCTTCTGTGAGTATATTTAAGAAGAAACTGGATGTTTTCATGGACAGGCAAAAAGGTGGGGGGCAATGTTGACGTTAGGTACTAGACACATTCGTTGAGCCTATCAGTACAACAAAAAAAAACAGTACAAAAATACAAAAATATTTATTTTAAGAGGGTTAATTCTAAAATTAAGGAACGCTCGACCTCGACACGTGATATCGAAATGGACGAAATCGCCTCTTGATATCACTATCTTGAATCTTGAATCTTAAATATCCTATAGGTCATAAAGAACAGATATAGAGCAACTGCCGAGTCCTCCTTTTCGCGCCATGGAAGAGGAATGACTCACATCTATTGACTCAAGGGGAGGGAATGCGGCTAAAGCGCAATGTCATCAGTCTCCTCATGTCCTCTCCTGTTCTCCATCTCGCGAGTTCCTGCCATCCAGGCTGCTCCGTTCATTAAACTCGAGGAATTGGAAAGTTTCACTGTCAGATCTGGTGGCGGCGTTACCCGACCATTGACCTGATTGACCATTGATTGACGCTGATATTGAGCTGATAGTAGGTTTTCGCTACTTAGGTTGCGCGATTTTTTTTTCTCTTGAGTTTAACTTGCAGTAAACGCAGCTATGTCATACTGGTGAAATAGAAGCTGCGGTAGTTTGAGTAGTCACCACGTGAGTGTGGAATCTAGACGAGTTTCTCGATCCCATTTCATGAAATGTATTTATCTGTCGGTTTGCCTATGAATTTCTGACCAATGTGCAAACTAGCGAATGCGGAGAGCAGGGTCAAGCGATCTTCTGGGATAGTCTAGTGATATCAATCTCATATAATGGGACCTACTTGCCTCTGCTATCTGGTTTTGTAAGGAACACCCTTTCCCTGTTCTGATGGAGAAAAATTAGCGAAGAAGAGTATATTTTTACAATACATTTATATAGCATCCGTCGAGCTCAAATCGTGGTTTGGCACGAATGAATACAACTTACGGCTTGGATATTCCACTCGCTTGAACAGCTTCATTTGAAGGTAAAGCGTTGCCCGATTCAGTGGGTCCCTTGCCTCCCTTCTTCTTCCATTCTGCAATGAAATTTCAATGAATGCCAATGACCCAGTGAAATGCCATTAAAAGTTTTTCCTACATACGCACATTGGTGAAGGGTGGAACACCGTCTTCACGAGAACGCAGAGGAGCATAAAAAATACGTTCTGAAGTACGTCCTATTTTACAACTTACCGGCTTCCATATCACTTGCTAGCTGCCAGTGCTTTAGAGTTCGCAGGCATTCCAAGAACGTTGGAAATACGTCTTCGCCTCCGATGGAGAGTTGCAGCTGCACGAAGGACAGCTTCTCTTCGAAGGGCTTCTTCAAGGCCTCAAAATACGGTTGCGGCTTTATTACGCCCTCCTTCCACAGTTTCTGGAGGAGTCCATCGATGTCCACGTGCTCCAACTCAGTCGTGAATTTGGCTATCACTTGGGAAGCGGCCATGAAGGCAAGGTGGCGGCGTACTTCGCCGGGTCAAACCTGTGCAAATATGCATAAAATCTATCAGTCGGGCTGCTCATTCCTAAGTATTACGAGGATTGGTAAGAAAATAGGAGCAACGCCATAGGCATCCATTTTTTAGTCCACAATTGAGGTAAGAAACCGCTGCACTTGAGAAGAATACGAGTTGATATTGCAAACTTCACGTGAAAAATTTTTAATTCCGTGGCTTCTTTGATATGTTAAATCTTCCTCTTTAGTGAGTCACTCATGATTCCATGAAATAATAAAGGGACCAGTGCTTCTGTCATTAAAAATGAAGCCATGGAATGTAAATTTTCCAAGAACCAAGAGAAGTAAACTTCTCAATGTCACACTGTCAAACAAGCAGGATTTTACATGAACTTTCTAAATACCCAACGCGAACAGCAATCACACTTCAAGGGCATAAGAAACAGTCTGACGTTCGTATGATCCACTCGGCTCATTCAACAGGTGAAGCGGGCTGATGAGTGCACACTGCAGCACATACTGTATCTCCTATTTCCAAGCCTCCCTTTTGTCTCAGATAAAGCACATTCTTATCTCTTTTCTCTTGCTCTCCGGAAAAAAAATGAAAGTCTGCTACACATATGCACTGTAGAGGCAGGTATCATTCGCTTTCCCCTGCAGGACGAAGGACTCCCAATATACTTTTTTTAAATTATCATATCCTGTTCCAACATATTTGATTTCAAATGCGACTCCAACGCTACATCTTTTCTCGGTTTTTCCATTTAACATATTCAGTTGCCATTTGGCTACCACGTTTGTCTATTGGGTATAGTACGAGTCGTATTTCGACTTCCACGAGTTTTTACCCCGGAATAACGCTAGATTTTTCATTTGCTTGAGGTTCGGGTGTCCCGAAATGAAAAGAGTCGGTCGTTTGCGGATATACGTGGTATATAGCATTCATGCAGCTCATGGGAATCAGTCTTGTCAATTCGTTTTCTTCCAAATTGCCAAAATTTGAGCGGAAAAGGGAGAATTTCATCTGCTCAGGCTCCTTTGATCTTGATGATATCTTTACGGTTCATCTCCTTGAAGGTATCCATGAGTTTCTCATAGACCTCTCATAGGCGTCGTGCCTATGATGGCATTGATCTTTTTCGTTGTGGCGCCGCTCCTCCCTGATCTCCTTCTCCTCCATCACGGACAGGAGCCTCTTCTTCGCGACGTTGTTGACGAAGAATTCGATGCCGACGATGACATCCTTTTCCTTCAGTACGTCCTACACCCGTCGAATGTCATCCAGGTCGGCGGGCTTCGAAACTCTCAGGCAAAAAAAATCGATTTGGAGATGTGCTCTTTCGCGCCTTCACAGGTGCGTTTCCCATAACCTTAAATTCCACCGATTCCGCTCCAGTGTGAAACGATCTTTGCGTTAGCAAAAATCACCCCTTGAATGTCGTGTCTTACGTAGGAACTCCAGAATGAGTTTAATTCCATATTTTACCAGTGTCTCCGAGTATGCAAAGTTTATCCGAGAATGGCTCATTCATACCCGAGATCCGAGAGCAGACGACAAGAAATCCCTTTCCTCACTCCGACGGGGTTCTTTTTCTGGCTGCAGTTTACCCTAGAGCATCAAGTACTGCTCTTATTTCTATAAAAAGGGACTAATCACCTCGTTCTGTGCAAACGGTAAGTTTCACGCCGCATTTATCGTACTTCACCTGTTTTCATTCTCATAATCCCGCGGGATAAGGTGTAGCAACCTGGCTCCCTATCTCAGCATAAATATTTTAACTATTTTCAAATATAATATGAATGAATATATCTGAATCATTTTCATCACTCACTAAATTAATTCCTGCCGAAAAACTCTGATTTTCACTCTTAATGTGCTGTCAAGGACGAGCATGGTAAACTGCGGTGGGAATTAGCAAATCACGAGAAGTTACTGCGATCCATTTCCAAAATATATCGCTATTTCCGCAAAAATTGCTACTTCCTGATCAAAGAACGTATGTAGGTGAGACGAATTTCCATGGTGCGGGAAAGAGGTGTGTAGCATCTGATGCGAGTATTTAATGTTTGTGCTAATTTACTTGGATGCGGTGAGTAATGGCATGGCAATGGTTAAACTACTTGAGTAACGAATAACTTTTTAAATGTAAGCCTAGCATCTCTTCGAAATCTGCAGGGAAGTTCTTAATTTTCCTTCCAGCACTATTGCTGTTGTACATAAAAGTTAGATAACTGAGAGAATACCATGACTTGCTACCATCATTTCATGAACCGAACATAAAAAGTATCGTCCAACCCCCCCCCCCCTCTCCTTCTCCCTGCCCCCCCCCGATGGATTGAGTTTCTTCACGAACTGTCCGAGAGCTTGCTTTCCAGCTCTCGCATCTCTTCGTTCCTACAAACCAAAGCATGGGAACTTTCCGAGGAGGTCAACTCTCCATCCTGATTAGAATGGATGCGTAGAGGAAAGTTGAGGAGTTGGATAAATGTGCAATTTATGAGAGTCAACTCATGAAAACAGCCTTTCCATCCAGCAGCAACAACACAACAGTCTGTGTTGTGTTGTGCCACATGAGATCACAACCGTCAGGGTTCTGCGACATGACACAGTGAACATCGGTTTCATTTATAGTCCTTAAAAAAGTAGTAGAGAGATGGCACGAGTGCAGGGTGGCTGACGACATGGCGCTGACTTATAAACGACAACGTCATATCTGAATTAAGTCGTTGGAAGAACTATGGGTCTACCCATCAAATGATTTTCAATACCGAGAGAGAGAAATCGATTGTATGTAAGGATTTCCATCATGGACATCAGGAACATGCACAAATACAGAACATACACAAGTAGAATCATAATCCACAAACGTCCCAGAATACCAAGAAGACACTCGTTTTTCAGATTTCTGAGATGAATAAACAGAAATCGTCCATTATGTACGAGGGGTATGTATGACATCGATATCTTGAAAAATCTTCAAGATTTCTCAGATGATTCGTCGGAGGTGGCACATGTGCAGGAAATCCTTCTGATCAAGCCTTTGCATGCGAAACAATACAAATGCTGAGATGTGCCAAAATGAAGCTCTCTGTTCATTGCAGAAGATCATGGATTCGCAGCCACTATTCCAGGATTGAAGTAGAGCTTCTTGAAGTTCCCTCTTACCCAATACTCGGCACTTTGCTTCTCGCCCCTTTCCCCTTCGTACTTGGACAGTCGTTCATGAACCTGGGAAGGACACATTCATCATATCGCAATGAAGTAAATTCAGAGTTCCTATCCATACATCCCTCCATAGTTCCAGAGTCGGATTTTTAAATATAATTTACTTTATTTTAAAGTATAGGACTGGGAAGCAGCTCTGAAGCATAAACCGACAATGTCCCGCCTATTAAAATCAAACTTTTTCGCTGCTTTTTCGATGGAACCAATAGGGTGGCGAAACGATACAAACTGAAATCCGATAGGACTGCACTGAAAGGAGGAAACATGCCAAGTTCGAGGAAATATGTCAGGCTGGATGACAAGTGAAGAGCTGCAAAAGAAACGAAGTCATCCGCGTGTGACTGTCTGAGAAGTCGTTATTTAGTTCACTACTCACAGGCCTCTTCTCCCTTACATTCAATATATTTGTGGGATTTAAATTAGCGAAAAACTGGTCAATCTACGCCTTCCACTTTTCTTCTTTTCTTAAAGTGGGCATTAGAAATTTGCACTTTCCTTCTGGAGCTTGAGAAAGTGTTTTTTTTTTCCCCAAGATCAGTTTTCTTACTAGAGTTGAAATTGCAATTGAACATAACTAGACTCATTGGTCCAAGTCGCTCATCTCGCACCATTTAGAATGCAAGGGCATGTGTGCTACTCTCACAGCAACTTACTAGAGTCATCATGCTTTGGAGGTCCAGGTTATGAGCATTCTTAGCGAAGACATCGCAGATCGATTCAATAAACCACGATCCGCGATCCACATTCCTGTAGCTCACAAAATCTGTAAATGGTAAAGCAAACGAGTCAATAAAACGCAACGCGCTATATTTTATGCAAAAGCCAATGGACAGCGGACGTTTAAGAAATGGCGAGTGCGACAAGATGCTTCCAAGACATATAAATGAAATGGAGGAAAGACGATTGAAGCTGAGCACGAGGGTGAAACAAGTAAATTAGAAACAGTTATATGAGCGAGGGTTATAAACCAGTGAAGAGGTTATAAGCGTCATCTCTGGAAATCAATTCCGATGAATCAATTGTGAGTATAGAGTTTATGGCGAGGCAGAGGCATTTCCTAAAGAAAGAGGCAGTGAAATTTTACCACACATTATAGCAACATCGGGAATGGGGCCGATAGTTTATATTATAGGTAACGCAATTGGGCATTCTCGGCACAGAAAAATCGCCTAACGTGTGATGCAGCGTGCCTCCGCCGGCCACCTTCGCCCTGGAATATAATATTGTTAAGGAGGAAAAGTGGGAGACGGACGACGAAAGGTCGAAAGAAGCAAGGGAAGGGCCGGGAATTGAACCCGGGCCTCCTAGATTGCAGGTCAGGTGTGCTACCACTACAGCACCGAACCCTGGACATTCAGTCGAGCCTCTCGAGGCCATCCTCATCCGTCACAATATATATAATATCAGAAATAACGATTGAGACGGAACATCACTTTCATGGAGTATATGATATGAGATATGCTCCCATCGACTCCTAATTCTTTGACCTATGCCGATTCACATGAACCCCAACGTAACCATCGAGAGCCGAACGTAGAGAGGAAGACTTCCCTTCTGCTCGCCGAGCACCTCCCCTTCCGAGGCGGACGGCTCGCCATCCCCAAGGAAGCGAATCTCCTCGCGCGAACGAAAGCCCAAGCGATAAAACTACGCCTTTTCCTCCATTCTTTCGGGACTCACCGGGGATGGACGAATTAGCCACGAAGATGTCCGACTGGAAAGAGGCCGAGTGGCAGTCTACCTGGAACGAATCCGTCTCCATGCCACTCTCGGATTTCAGAAACTGTTCCTGCCCCCTAAGTCAGGCGTAAAAAAACCCTCCATCAAATTTTTGGCCCATTCAAAGGTGGAATTTTGGCATTTTCGCTGTCGGAATTTGCGCCTGATGTTATTTTTCTAAGGAGACAATATCCTCTCTTGCCACATACCTCCTTTGCAATACTTTCGCAGCTTACGAAATTTGTGAACAAAATTGCATTTATGCTTTCAGGAAAAACTTTGAAGACCACCATCTCCGAATGCAACTGCAATTCTGATACTATCTGAAATCGGTGAGATGCGTTAATATTTCATGTCCCTCCTCCCAGTCTTCGCATTTTATAACGCTGTCACGCCTCCACGACAACCGCCTTAACCGTTCAGAGAAAGGAAAAATTTTGATGAAGACTATCGAAGTTCTGAATGCACTCAAGATTCGGTAATATTTCTCAAAAAGAAGTCCACAGGTCTAACAAATGCAAAGAGTCGAGAGGTAAAAACGAAGAGGCGTGAAGCGAAAATTTCGGATGGGACCACGAGGCCTTTAGACGTGCGACACGCGCAGAGGCTTTCTCCGATTTTTTTGTTTTGTTTTTGCCATTGAATTTTATTCACATCCGTTAATACTTATCCGTGGGGGTACCTTTCTTTCGAGAGAAGGAAACATGTCAGTACCGGTCTGACTTTCATCAGTTGCAAGTTTTATGAGAATGCCGCTCCTGGCACGTATCCCCTTCCTATCGTCACGCGAAGACGCGATCAAAAAAAAAAAACAGCAGACGCAGAGAAACAATCATGTGAACGATTGTTCCTCGACGAGACGGCGCAGCGTGACGAGCCCAAGCCCGTAGAACGGAAAGGAATCCCTCCGTCTTTCCTCAGAATCGCCCAAAAATGTCAGGCACGATTCAGACGGCAAAAACGAGCCAGCGGCAACCGTAGACCGCGACTTCACCTGCAGGCCTGAAAGAAGAAAAGCTTCGGCTTGTTCTGCAGCTCGGGCGCGTCCTCGTTGCTGAAATTCCCGATGATCCATTCCACCTGGAGCGGCGCGTGGTCCACGGAGTAAACGACGTAGGACTTGTCCGATTGGTCGCCGTGGCTCATCACGACGACCCCGCAGCAGTCGCCGTGAGCGTGAAGCGGACTCTGCGCGAAACTCTTGATCGTCCTCTTCATATCCTGAAACGAGTGGCATACGGGTTACGGCAAGAATTTCCCCGGTTCCACGAATCCTTCCGGAAAATGCGGAAGCCGAGGCCGCTTTTAAAGCCTCTGCCGTGGATTCCACGGAGGAACAAAATCCCCGTGGGGTCTTGAAGCCTTGACCTTGAAGGCGCCTCGGGAGAGAATCGATCAGGGAGTGGAACTCGACTCACGATTATTTTCAAATTCTCCTCGCGGTGGACCTCGAAGTGGAGATTTCGAAAAAGATTCGCCATGTTTTCGGCATCCACCGCGGCTCCCCTTCTCTCGTTCAACTTCTTGAATCTCACGTTATCAGGAGAACGTGTCCCCTCGGGTTGGACAGCATTTTATACGCCTCCTGTGGGATCGGCAATCCTGCTTTTTTAAAACTTCTTCGGCACTTCTTATGCTTAAGCGGCTGAGAAGTTGAAGCCGGTTCGTTCGTGGCTGAAGCCATCGGTCGTTTGCCTGACACCTCTGGTCGCGTGCCATCCTGGTGCTCCAAATGCGTGTCGTTTCATTTCAGCATCATAAATGATGGGTTCAGGGGTAAAGGTTCAGGGAAAGAGCCGAGGAAAATCCTTATCCCGAAAACTTTGAAAGATTTCGTCCTCCAAGTATACCACCCGCAACTCGGCGAACGGGAGAACGAACCGAGTACGTCCGCACGCATAGAGAAACTAGCGATGGCACGATTCGCCACCAGGAGTCGTCAGGATCGAGCGAAAGGCTGAAGCCATCTCACCGGGGGACCCCAATGGCGTTCGGCTCTCTGGAAGGCGATGTCCAGGTGCTGAGGCTGGGAGGGATGCGAGTCGGGAGGGGCGTCGCTCCCGATGACAGCGGCGTCGTCGGTCACGTCCCTGCTGGAGGCGGGCGCGTCCTGCGCGTTTCGGCCGCTTTCGATCGTCGGGGTTTTCGTCGTATCTCTGAAAGAGAAGGCGGGGGTTGCGGGAGTGAAACGTTGAGACACTTCTCAGCTAGAGAGGAAACGTCACGGAGATCGGGTTCGAGACATCGATTGCTTGACTGATTTTGGCTTCTGATGCGATATCGGGACCAAACAGTCGCACATTCGTTTAGCGTTTGCCTTTCCTTCAATCATAGGCCTCGTGAGCCGCATTTCAGGCCTGTTAACTGAAAAGTCACTTTGAGTTAGGCCTAGCTAGCGAGAAGAGAGTAACGTCGATGACAACCCCCCCCCCTCCATAGCCTTTGGTTCCATTCCGCTCTTCGCAGCCTTTGCCCCCAAGCCAAATCGGCTCATAACATCCTTCGACCATTGCATGTCCTCGACCAATCCCTCTTACTTTCTGTTTGGTGAAGGAAACTACCCAAGCAGCATGTTCACGTAAACAAGATATCAATTTGTTGCAAACAATGTAAATTTCTTGCGATTGCCATGAAAATGACATCACGAATACGTAAAATGTACGTTCCTATATTTACGTCACCAAAGTGTACGTGTATTTTACATCAACTAGACGTCACTCCATCTGACGTGAAGTACATATCAAACAGGGAATCATTAAATGCTGAAGTTAAGCTTTTTATTACAGCAGTGCACGGGATTAGGGAAGAGTAGAATCACAGTCACACGAGTACTACATCTTCTCGATCCTAAAAGGAAAAGAGCTCCTTTGAATATTTACTCCTCCCGAGGTTCCGGTACGGGAGGAGGAAGCAGGAGGTTATTTTGGTACTCTTGAGTGCTGGTGAGGAAGAGTGCTTGTGTCACTCGTCCAACCACCCTACAGTTTTGAAGAACGTAAAGGAATAGGAGATTCAATGTATCAATTCCCTTCAATGGTACTGATTGACTCTTTAAATACGCATGAATGCCAGGGAAAAATTAACAAAAATCTTACGTAATATGAATGTAAAGACGCTGTTTGGAATGCAAACGGGAATGTCACTTTTGCGTAAAATTTACGTTAATTTTATACCGTTTACGTATCACAGAGGTGACATTTCTGCAAACATGTTGGCATTTTCTTGACAATGGTTTGCGTAAAAATGATATAAAATGGACAAAAAATTTACACTCATTTTATGTAAAATTAACATAAACATGCGGTTTGGGTAGCTTTCTCCATGGAGTTAAACGTTTTTTAGGGTGCGAATCAAGAATTGATTAGAGCTGTGAAGAGTAGACTCAGTACGGTATGTGCCTAGGCCAGCTCTACGTGAATCCCTTTAGTCTATTTTCTAAAAAATATTGCTACAGCTAGGATAAACTCAACATTTTTCTCTACTATGGTGAATTTGCCCTTTTTACTCCATCTTAACTTCTATATGACAACGTTTTGGAAAGCCTCCAGCCAGAAAAATATTTCGGCTTCCTCGTGAGATTCGGTAAATTTGGTGACGTTCTGGAAACGAGCAAAATCATGAGTGTGGAATTATGCTGTCTGCAACAAGACTGCTGGGCCCAGGCTTCCCCCCCGTCGCAGGCGAGCTGGAGCATGCGCAGCTCCAACCTAGGCCATCCTCTCCCTGCCCTGACCTGCTCCTAATCACAGGGAGCGGGACGGAGGACCTGAGGGGGAAAGGGCGGTCTCGCAGCGAAGTGAACGGGATGAGACTTGGGCCAGAGGGAAGAGGCCTGAGTGCTACGTTGCCAAATCTATGCAAGGTTGCCAGATATTCTTCCACGCCCTACTTTTTCCCCACTCCGAGGAAATCAGAATCCTTCAAAGCCAGTTTTTTGGTCTCATCTACCTGTTTTATCAGCACCACGGCTCGCGTAGGCATTTTATTCCTTCAGATCTCTCTCTTGCAAAACTTTTCTCCTGCCCCAGGGCTTCCCCCTGGCAGCGATTTATGCAATGGAGTTCGTGTAGCTGATGTCACGTTTCCCTAACCAATCATGTCTGTGAGCATGACTCGTAATATGTTTACATATCGCATTAACATAGCTGTATCATATACTGTGTGACAATATAAGTCTGAATGTGATAGGAAAATTTTAGTTAATAGAATATGTTAAGCAAGAACTCATTCGCTAACATGTGGTTTCTATCATGGTACCGCTGATCAAGTGAAGTACAATGTGAAATCATATTTGTACCGTATTATATATAGGCTTCGCGACGCGAAATGATGGAAACGGGAGACCTCATTTCCGACTTAGTAGATCTTTAGTTTTTCTTCGAGAAGTGATGAAAAGAGGCGAAAATTCTCGAGAACGGAAGGCCCACGCCAGATCTCCAAATCTCGCAAAAAAAGACTCTCGTTTTCCGTAAAGTCTGGTACGAAAACGGGAGAAATGGGAAGTGCAGAGAAGGGCGATTCAGAGACGATTGGTCCGGAACCGAAACAACGGCCAGTTGATGGAATTGAAATTCTTCGTTTATGCCAATCGGGAGAAATAACTTCTAAAAAAAAATGAATAAGAGCGTCATGAATAAGAGGGCAGCTTTAATAAACATTAAATTAATATTTAAGAAGCAGTTCGGATCGACGAACAAAAGGTTGCAATAAGAACTGGCAGTGAAGGAGAAGAAACGGACAATACGCTAACAGGCCTCAAACTGACGAAGCCCAACGCATTGAAGCGGCAGAGCGAAGACTGCCAGGATTGCTCTCCCGGCGACACGGAGGAATGAAGGACTCTCTCGGCCTCAGGTCCGACCTGTCCCGAGGAAACTAGATTCGCTCAGGGCGCTCTCCACGCTTGGCAGTCTTCGCGCTCCACTTTGTTTAAGACGCACGCTAAAATATCATTTTCCTGGTTTCAGTCACTCACATATTTTCTTGGCATTCTGCCAGTAGAGTAGCGAGAACCTCGTTTTTCGGAGGGCCAATGAAGTCCTATGAGGGCCTAAGAAAACCTTATGTAAGCTAGGGGGAAAGGGGGGTGGGAGCCAGGACAGCCCCCCCCCCCCCCCCCCTTCCCTGGCTACGTCACTGGCCTACCCTACACCATGAACCACGAGCCGCCACTGGAATTCTCACGAGTCACATGAGAATTTTAAGTGAATTTGGCTGCGAGAATTTAATGAGAATCCTCACGAGACTCATGATTTTCTCACAACCGGATTTACAGGAGATTATCATGGGATTTTTTTAAGTCTCATATTTTGTTAAGCCGTGCTTGCTCGTTCTTCTCCAAGAGCATGCAATTTCCGCTTCATTCATAGAAATCTTCGGAGAACTTTCATCCCCTCAAAATATGGAAATAGTACGAACGTGAAAGGACACGAAAACCCATGGGACAGCTCCGGATGTACGGTTGAAGCTCATTTTAATGAAATCTCGTCAGCCTCTTGGGAGACAATATATTAGCGAATAATATTAGCGAATTTGGTTCGACCTCAGCATTTGCCTCGAGGGCGGCAAAGAGTCCCTCTAATATTTTTTGCCGCGATGTTTCCTCTCCGTCGTGAAATGTATTTTCGGAAAGCTGCCAACTCGCCGTCAACGATGAGCGATAATGAGTGTTCTGCTCGTGATTCTATCCCGCTTCGTTTAAATTTTATCGTAGCACTTGAAAAAGATATGAGGATCCTCGAAGTGAAGTGGCTCAGATCCATTGACTCCTCGAAAGCGAGGGCAATGACATCATCTGCCCCCCCCCCCCTCCTTCCCCCTCCCCCCCCTCTGTACGCGTGTCGAGCGATACTGAGAGTTCGAAGATTTTCTTACCAAATCATGACAAATGCGATGACATTATTTTCTGCCATTACGGTAAAATTTTATTAAGGTTCCCAGGAACTAGCATCAAGTAGGTTGAATGTCGTTGTGGGTTTTGTCTACCAGCGGCTGCCGTGAAATTCAAGCGGTGCATGAACATCATCTATCGTGCTCGTCGGAAAATAATAAATATACCACGCCCTTTACCAAGAAGAAAAGCACCAAGGCGAAAATATATTCGAAAAGTCAATTGAATCCAGCTCGGAAGGATTCACTCGAAGTTGGCGTCTTTACGGACTCACGGTTGAAAGGATTCACTTGCTCCTTTGGGATTTCCTCCTCGGTAAGGCGCTTGATCCGAATCGATATCTCTCTGCTTTTTCCAATCTGCAATTACAGTTCCGTAGCATATTTATATACACATCCAAGATGACTAATGAAACAACAAATGGGTTTCACTGTCTCTTCCCTCCCCCGTCCCTTTGCTCATGATGTCACTCTTTCGTTCCTCTTGTAGTGTCCTGTGTCCGAGGAGCAGACGACAGGTTGACGCAGCGTTACTCGAAATGATTAACCCAGTCAGAGATTTCAAGGACGAGTTTTATACCGTGGCGGCTTCTCACCGGAGAAATGATTTTATCAAGCCTGGACATTGATGAACATTCTAAGAAGTGGGTTCATTGGAACCCACAGTGCTAGGCAAAGTGCCATCCTGGCCCTAGCACTGCACTGATGAAAACGCCGAGCTACACCCCAACATCTAATTCCTTCCCGTTTTCGAGCAATGGACGAAGGTAAAATAGGCGTTCGAGAGGCAAGGAGAAGGCCTCCGTAGAGTTCTTGCGACCCTTCCGCAACAGAGGAGAGGCGCCGTCCATAAGAACGTCCTTGTAATCGAAGAGAAACTTGCGCTCCTTCTTCCTCTCGGTGCGCTCGAATCCCTTCAGGATCCCTTCATTCCACAGCCCATCGAGAATTTCATCGATGTCGACGCACTCCAATTCTTCTGTATACTTAGCAAGGACTTTATCAACCTCCATTGAGGCAAGATAGCGATGATTTCAACCAATTCTAAAAAAAAAAAATTACAAAAATAAAAAAAAGCAAATATATTCAGGGTAGTTACGTCCTGTGGGATGTTTAAATTGTTGTAGGGACCACATTAGATGGAGTTGGAACGCCAAACTTGCAGGGCGCACAGATAATGACATTGGAAGATCATTTCCGTGAAAAAATTCGAGTTGCCGCCACTATCTTTCCAGGTGTTATCACCAGTACACGCTACACAATATAAACCCAGGCCATCTGGCCTGGACACATTCCAAAGTTAGAGAGTAGGATATGGATGACCCCCCCAGGAAAATACTAGCCTCGTCAGGCATTATTTATCTTAACGGATGCAACGTCGAACTCTTCCTGCATATCGGACCGAGACTGGAGCCCGTCTTGGGCCCTGTACGAGTGACATTGTTAAGGGTCTTTTCAGGAAATTTGAAGTTACGGGAAGTGGATCGCCCACGATCCGACCACCCACCAACACCAGTGAAAATGGCCGCGGGGATCATGTACACCACTAAGGCGTCCGCCTCGGCCTCAGGTGTTTGTCGCGTTCGGACTGTGTCTCGAGAGACAGGCATTTTATAGTCGATAGGTCGTAAAGCCCTACGAACAACTGTGCGCCGCTAACTATTGAGGCTGGCTAGGGTGTAAGAGCTGCAGCCATTGACCACGACTCCCGCCTTCACTTCGCCTTTGATTTTCTGGCACGTTGTGGGGACAACAATGTATGGCTGAACAACATTTTCTTGACAGTGAACAGCGTTATTGAGCTAGGAGGGATACGAAGGGTACGTCAAGCATTTGCAATAGGCAAAATGTTCCGACCGATGGAGCCAAATAACGAAATTAAAAAAATTAAAATGGCCTTATCATGTTGTTATCTATGCACCCTGCAACTTTGGCTATCCAACTCCATCTACTTTGGTCACTACAGCACTGTAAAAGCCCCACAGGACTTTATAACCACCCATATGAAATAGCCATGCAAATAATGTATGGAAACATAGCCAGCTTCTTGCAGGCGGATATCACTTGCTGATGTGACCTGGTGCACAATCGAAAGAGAAACCATATCAACGGTCATACACGCGTCTCAAGTTGTCCTCCTTTGATAACTTATCTATAGCAGCCATATCAGGCATCCTGGAGAGGAGCATGATGAATCACCGGCCAGTGGGAGCGGAAGCTTCAAAAAGCATTCCAGCTCGATTTCAGGGACTTGGGTTTTGCGACCGACAGGGATTGACATGATGAAAATCGTCCATTGACCTTAAGTTAGACCTGGAATTCTTAATTTAAGGAAAAATCTCCAGTTTCAGCGCAACCGGTTCTCGTGGCATTCCATCCCGAAGTCAGACCATCAGGAGAAAAGTGATCCTATAGATCTAATCCAAAATTTTGCTGCAGAAGTGTTTTCGAAGAAACGTTGAGCTGCATTCGAGAATTCAGCTACCTTGATGATGCAGGTTCCATCATATGTGAAATTCTTCTCAACTTCACCAACAATACTTAATATAAAAGTGAATAGAAAAACTTCTTTAATAAATCCACAAGGACCTTCTTCTGTTTTTCTTTGAGTCCCAGTCTCTCACGATCTCCCTAAACTCGGTCTAACGTCACAATGCCTCCTGTCCAGGAAATGTGAATAGAACCTCATTCAATGAAAGTTTGAATCCTAGGCAGATAGAACTTTGATTAATCGTTTGTTCCAGGCTTTCTTGGGGAAACTTATACGATCGACATATCTCATTATTCCACTTTTCATGTGGATGATTTGGATGGTATCATCTTTTTCTTGGAAATTTCAGATGGAACCTTATTGAACCTAAGTGAAAATTTGTTATTTCTTTTCATGGGGCTTCTTGAGCTATTCCATTCGATAACCGAGTTCTAGTGAACAGGGAAAGGTGGATGGATAAAGAGAATTGCCCCCTAAGTGGGGAGGCATTCTCGATAAGAGGCAAACAATAGCGGATAGGACAAAACCTTCTGTTCTCATCATAATGTTACCGTTCTTGTGGCATTGGCAATTAGCTTTAGATTAGATTTTAAGAGTATCATGCATTTTGTAGTTGAAATGGAATAAACTTCGAGAAAAAGATTAGTCTTAGTATAGATATTCGCACCTCGTGTCTTTGCATCTTTCAATTTTGTGACCTGTGGTGATGTTGACCTCTTGAAATACATTTGGCTTAGGGAATGTCCGACAAGCAACTTTAATTATTTGCATGAATGGAGAGCTGTATATTGATGCATGATGTAGCTTTCGGAAGGCGCACATTTGTATGCCAGTTCGATGAAAAAGGATTTGTTCCAAAAGAAAAACATGTTTCAGTTTGAAATATGCAATTATCACTCGTCCCCTTCCTTCTCGCAAAGCCCGATGCTCTTGATTCCATTCTTGATGAACAGGATGGTCCTGGTGAGGCCTTCCCACTCCTGAAAGGAACGACATATTGACGACTTTTCTTTGTACTCCTGAGATTCTTGCACCAAGTGGATGGTACCTTTACTTCAAAGATTCTAGTTCATGATTTAGTGAAATACATTTTGTATATCGAGCACATTACTTTGAATTTCACGTCCAACACGATGGACAGTCCTATATCCTAGATGTGGCACAGAGAGAGTGTGCTATCCCTTGCTAATCAAACACTACTCATGATAGCAGGTGGGTCGCCTGTCGGCAGAGGAAGAACCCGCACTCGCCTCTTGGGTTTCACTCGAAAGCCGAAATCACTTTGCCACCAAACTCAGTACGATTCCTAACTTGCTTATGAGCATCACATATAACTTTAAAACGAAAAAAGTAAGACCATGACATGAGGGATTTTTAATAGGTTGCCTGAATTGCAATAGAACCGCCAAAATCCATGTATTCCCTTTGAGAGTGATTATGGTCAAAATAAATACGTATTATACTCAGGTAATAACATAATTGGTGCACCAAAACAGCTAAGAATAAACAGCTGGCTGTCAGAACTTTTTATGATAGGGGATCTTGCAACCACAGCACCGAGGGAAGAGCTGACTGTTTCATGTTCTCGATGTTACACTTCAAGTTCTGATAAGGGATGCGATATATGCGCAAAAAGCACATGTACCCTCGATCCTTTATCGTACGAATGTTAGATATACAGTGAGGGACAAAACTGTGCCAATGTTGGCAGTTTCGGTTGATAACTAATAATTCGAGTATAACGAGTTCAACTTAACTTAGATTTCAATCATACTTCCACTTCCTGGCTTTCGATTGGTGCTAGTCGCGTGCCAACTGGCCTCCTATTGGCTGAGCTGCAACTGTTCAATGTCAACCTAGTCATTGACACAGTTTCGCCCCTCACTCTCGGACATGCAGAAATTCGAATTTATTAATACTCTGTGTATTCGCCTTCGGCCTTCAACCTTCAACCCCAGTACCTTTCTAGACATGCTCTCGTTCAAGTTCAAGCATATTTGGTTGGAAATTGCGTCCCACACGGTTGTGACCTGCCGCCACGACTCGTGGATGCTGATTGGCTCATTTTCGTACACGCTTGTCTTCGCTTCAAGACCGGAAGTGCCGGAAATGTTCCATTGGGTTCAGGTCTGGTGAATGCTGGCCATTCTAGGACCTCGATTCTGTGGTTCTGGAAGCATTGGTGAGCCACACGCGAGTTGTGCTTCGGATCATTGTCCGGCTGAAACACCACCTCTCTCATTTCGAGCCGGTCTATCTCAATTGTTGAGAGTAATTCTTCCTCGATGATGCTTGTATACACCTTGGCATATACTCTTCCTTGTATTTTACATCCATGCCCGACTCCCTTGGCCGTCATGCAGTCCGAATATGGATGTCTAAAACAAGGAAGAATAGATGCGAAGGTGTATATAAGCGTCATCGATGACGAATTGCTCAAGATAGTTGAGCTGGAACGGCTGGAAGTGCCTTCAACACTGGTAGTGTTGAAAGCCGAAGGCGAATACACAGAGTGTTAATAAATTCGAATTTCTGCATGTCCGAGTGTGAGGGACAAAACTGTGTCAATGACATGGTTGACTTTGAACAGCTGCAGCTCAGCCAATAGGAGGCCAGTTGACACACGACTAGCACCAATCGAAAGCCAGGAAGTGGGAGTATGATTGATTGAAATTTAAGTTAAATTGATCTTGCTATACTGGAGTTAAGAGTCATCAACTGGAACAGTGTCAACCATTGACACAGTTTTGTCCCTCACTGTATCTAACGCTATACGCGAGTAACATCAACGAGCTATTCTGGTTCTTGGGTAGGCATCTAACCCAAACAAATGATATAACTGTTAAACCCTTGGGGTTTAAAAGGGTGGAATTCATTTCCGGCCATGAGAGGACCGAAGTAAGAGGCTATTTATAAGCTTTGTACGATAAATGTTAAGGAAATGTCCAGATAAATAACAGATTCATCTCTACTCAGGGCACACGACTATAGATGTCACGTCACATGTGTTGTTGAATTTTAGGATGGCGAAATCAAAGTCAGAAACTTTCAAAACACAGTGTTTAGAAAGTTTCTGTTCTATCTAGGCAAAATGTGGCTTTAAGTGGGCCTCATTTCCTGGAAGGAAAGAGGGAGGAGTGACTAATCAGTAACGACTTTCACCAGTGCAAAGTAAGTCCCAGAAAAATCAGAAAAACTTCCCAGAGAGTTTGACATTTTTTCCCAACTCGAGTATTTGTAGTTTGAGAAAAACTAACTGAACCTGATTTAGTTGCTGATATGCAGGCTTATAAATAACGCATTTAGTTACTTAATGCACGAACTATTAATATTTCGAGAACTGCTACCCACGGTCCGCACTCAATAATTGGTCCATTCACTGATGCTAGAACTAGAATGCGAAGTGCGATGGCGAGAACGTTTCTTGAAAAAGCTATTTGCACTGAAAACAGGTTTCGCTTTCCTGTTCTGACGAAGTAGGACAGCAACATTACCAGGAAACGAAGCAATCAAATGAGACTA